AATTCGAAATTCTTCTATATAAGAAATTTTGTTAAAATCTACAACTTATTGGTTGAAGTGAAAAGAATTCAATCCCCCTTAAGTAAAATTTTAAATTCAAGTTTTATGAACGAAAAAATAAGTACTGAGAGAACTTTTCTTTAATAGGGTTCGACGTAACTTGATTCCAGATTAGTTGGAACTCAATGTGATTACTAAATACTAAGATATTAATACAAACAAAAAAAAATCTTTGTTAAAAGTTTTTACAGTAGGAAATTTCTAGAGTCCTATCCAAACACAAAGTCAAAGATTGGTATATGCTGAGACCTGACAAAATTGGAATCAATCCGAAAATTCGATCCAACCCATCCGTTATGGATCAAGTAATGGGTCTTATATGTTAATCCAAAATCTGAAATGATCCACATTGAAATTATTCAAACTCAAATGGGTTGGATTACGGGCGAATTGAGTCACCCAAAATGACATGAACTTTTATTTATTTTTTTTTTATTAAATTATTTAAAAAATAATTTCTAATTTCTAATTTCTCAATCTTAAAAGTAAAAATAAATAAAATACTTAAACTCTAATCTCTTTTCAATTTCTCTTTCTCTTAACTTTTCCTCTTCTCCACTCTTACTCTTGCTTTCTTCATCTCAAGTTCTTTAATCCTTCTCTTTGGTGGTACTTGTGTGTCAACAATCAAATTATATGGCACATAATGAGTTGCGTTGTATGATATTGTCAAAAAAAAAAATTTTTAAGCAAAAATGCTTACTAAAAATCAAAAGTCAGTGATTGAAGAACTCTATCATCATTAGAAGCACAATGACAAGAACATAAAAAACATCAAAGTTTTATTTTCGTTGCTAATTTGTTTTAAATTACTAATTTGTTTTTAATTAATAGTTTGTTCCTAGTTAATAAAAAACAATCCTGATCGAATTTCTTCCTGTATTTGTTTGGACATATTTTAAATTTACCTTTTAAACTTTAATATTGAATAAGGCTATACTTTTTGTATAATGTCTTTTTAAATATTGAATAGAATTGTATTTTT